GATAAGAAAACTCCATAAAAAGGCCATAATGCTGTCAGTTGGATATAAGATGGCACTGCAAACACAAAGTGATAGGGACTGGTTCCCCAAGTAAAGCATGCAATTAATTCTGAATACCTTTCTTTCAAAATTATACTGATAACTGGCAATCTTATTCACCTGAGTTTGCATTTGGCTAAATGACAGAGAATTCTATTAACAGATGCAGGTTTTTTAAAAAGTTAATTTTCAAATAGCTGGATTTAGTATTTGTGAAATTCCAGTTTCCTTTCTATTAAAAAAAAATATTTACAGCAGTTCTAAAAGTCTGATTCCTATTCCCAGAACACAGCATTTATCACCAGATTTAGGAGTCACCACAGAAGCAACATGACAGCAATACCTCCCTGTATTTTCTTAACCATTTTTTTTCTCATAGCTCCTGCTCATTTCTGCCTTGTGCCATGGTATTCTGTTTCCTCCCTGTGTGCTGGCACCACCATGCATCTGGCCATGTTGTGAAGCAGCCTGAGAACTAAAAAACCCCACAAAGACCAAACCCTACAAAAGAAGGAAAGTTCTTTTCAAAACTCATTTTCCAGGATCTGGTTACTGGTGGGGGCAATGAATGAAGCCATTCTGCCACAGCAGGGTTAGGCACTGTGTAGCACACGGTGGGCAGGACTCCTGTGAGCTGCTCCAAGCACCACCTCCACCTGGAAACAGGGTGGCTGGGCTCTCTTTAGGTTTGGTGAGTGACATCTGTAAGGAGATAATTTCAGCCTCTCTAGTTTTGCATGCCAGGTATTCACCCTTCTCCACACCTCAGTAACTGTGCCATTTTCCATTCACCCTAGCTATCCCCATGACAGTTTGCTACAAATAGATCCAGAAACTGACTGTCAAGCTATTCTTTGTAATGTAATTTATTGCCATACATGAAAACTGCATTGACTTTCCTCCAAAACAGGAGGAAAGATCTGCCCTGTGTGCTTGATGCTACCTGCAGTGGAGAATAAAATCCCCAGTACAGGGAAAACCTGGCTATTATCTCTTCAAGCTCAGCTCAATGTCCTATGTTAGTCTGGAAGGGAATGGGATAATAGAAAATTTTGGTCTCCATAGGATAACATCACTGAGAAACACTTTTCAGTGTCAGAAGCTTGGCTTCTTTTTCCCCTCTTAGAACACATAGCCACATAATAACCTATGCCAGGTACTTTCTGGGGAGATGAGGGGAAAAGTTTTAAAACCTATTTTAAGCCTTCCCCTTGTAGATAGCTCACTGTTTTAGACTTGTAATGATAAATGTGATCATGAGTAATGACATCTATTCATGGAACATGTGAAAGCAGGTCTGAAATGTCAGGATTTGGCTGAGGAAAATGTGTCTCCAGCAAGGTCAGCTGCATTGACTTACGTTAGCCCATCCCTCATTAAAACACAGGCTGAATTTCTCATAAGTCTGGTCAGAGCACATTCTCCGTCTCTCTGTCTCCGTCCCCCTGTGCCTGCAGTTTTTTCAGATGGTGCCCAAAGGCCAAATTATGTGAATTTTCAAACTCATTGTTCCCCATTAAAATGCTAATTCTGCCTGTGATTCCTATTGTTTAATCCCTTGAGTGCTTTCGGACATAGAAGACAGAGTATACATTCTCTGACAGAGTGCTCACCCGGCATGTTTCTCCATCCCATTGTCAACAGTGGGCCAGGACAAATGGTGTGACTTGGCCAGAGGACAAGAAGCTTGATCAAGGTGCAGCAAACAAGCTGTATGCAGTTGTTACACTGATTGTGTTTCTGGTTTTACATGATGAGCCTTTTCTATTCTCTTCTGCATAAGACTTTTATAATGCCCTCATCACCATAGTGCCTGAGTGCTTTCTAATAGTGCAGTAACCAAAAGAGCTAGCATCTGACACTTCTTTCTTCTTTCATCCTGTCCCCAGAGAGAGGAGCCTGTGAGAGAAAAACCTGCTATAGAGGGATATTTTTATGAGAGCAAGATAGGGAAGGAGGATTGCTTTAAAGTGTTTAGTAGTGCGTATGTTGTCATAAATATATATGGGGCAGGGGCATGGTCAAAGAACTGTGTTTGGAGCAGGTGATGAAGTGGTATGAATGCTCACAGACTCTGGGGAATTTCACTTGATGGGTTTAGTGTGCTTTTCTGGAACACTTTACTCTGATCACCGCTGTGCCAGAGACTTGAAGGTGCCAGCCACAGTCCTCATATACTGGATGATTGTTTACACATCAGAAGGCAAGGCCTGAGAAGGCTGGATGACCAGCATTTGGAATTTGACGCCCAAAATTCTACTAGTGATCAGCACTGGCAGCATCAAGCTGAGTCTGTGTAGGTAACTACTGTTAGATGACATATTTGTGCTTTTCCATTGTTTTTGGCTTAACTTCTATAGATCTTAAGGCAGGTGAAACTAGAAACTGCCCTTTGCTTCCAAGGGAGAATGAAGATTTGAAATTTTTACCTAGAAACTGGAACCTTTCTGCTTACCATAATCAGGAAAGAACTTCATTTGCCACCTATGCATGTGCCTGGGAGAAAGAAAGATGCCTTCATAGCAAGAAGAGGGAAGAAGTCACAGATGTTGAATTAAAATCTTCATGACTGAACTACTTTCTACAGGAATGTGTATTCTCATTTTCATTTTGATACTTAGCCCTGTAGAAGACATCACTGTTCTACTTTGTAATATTTTGCCAAAATAGGACTAGTGTTGTTTACAGCTATGGTGGTCTAAGGATACAAATGAGGAAAGGGAAAGGACATATCATTTATTAAGTTAGCTAATATCCTGGGAAAAACGTTATGCTTTTGGATTTGGCATTAAGGGATGCTAAGTCCAAAAGCATCTCCATTTTATCCAACTTTATCAGTTTGTCCAAGAAAGTAGGTGTTTTCTTCCAAAATACTGCCATTAAGCTCCACTTACATTTTTTTTGTGACTATATCTAGTTTTTGAGGCTCCTGCTAAACCACTGATGATTCTTCCTGCTTCTTTGGTTTCAGTCATACCTTTATACTTGCTGAACCATTTAGTTTCTATTCCATAATAAAATTATCATTTGTACCTGGCAGATATTACCTGAGAAGACGCTGCAATGCTTAGCATATGCTATCTAGCTAGTTTTAAAATGTATTTTGACAATACTGAATGGCTTGTTATAGCTTTATAGTCTGCTTTATATTAACTCGTTCTGATTATTGCTGCCTTAATTTAACACTCAGGAACTTTGGCTATTTCCACCAGTACTCCAGCTAAAATTACTACCAGAATTGTTACAGTTGGTGGGGTTTTTGGTTGGTTTACTTTTGGGTTTTTGTTTTGTTTTGTTTTTGCTTCGTTTTGTTTTGTTTTTTCCAGAACTTTTCATCATGCATGGAAATAGACATTACCTGTGGCTACCATGGCAAAGTATGAAGCTTCAAAGCCATATGAAGGACATTAGGTAAAGAATTATTAATTAAACCTTGTCTTGAGTCACACAGCAAGAATCGATTCAGACATACCCCTGCAGTACACCATGATGCCTTCTCTCCTTGTGAGAGAAGCCAGCTAGTGCCTGCCAGCAAGTGGAATTTTACAGCACAGATTTTCCGCTTTCCTTTTCTTCTCAATCCAGCACCACAGAGCAGACAAACAAGGCAAACAGTTCAGATTAAAGTTCATGAGAGCGCAATCTCAAGTACAAATATTCCCTTGCCTGGGAATATTGCCCATGTCATAATCTAGATCCTTGAGATGTCTGTTTTGAAAAGAAATGGAGAATATGAAATTTAGATAACACAACTACCTGCTCATATGAAAGTAGGTAGATAACAAGTAGTTCTTAGGTGTTTTTTTTTAACCCCAGGGTCTTGCAATTGAATTGCATTGTTCTGTGGAACTGTGCACTCTTTTATTCTGTGACCTCATAGAATTTATCCATACAAACACCCCTTTCCAAGATGTGCCTATTCTATAAAACATACATGTCATATACTATCAAGAAACTAATACTAAGGTAACCATTAGTCTACCTTTTTACAATCAAAGATACCCTCTTCTTAAGTGCATCCAGTAGAAAGGCTAGGTATCTAATTAGCATGGTAAGGTCTAGGTACCAGTTTGCTTTATCTGGGCTTAGGTCTGCCTACTGAAAGTCTTTATGCTTTTTATCAGCATGTTTCAGAAGCAAGTACGGAAGAGACAGAAAATCATGCTTAGTAGTGAATATTTTGCACATTTTATTATGCTACCAAAAGCATAAACATCTGTAAAGTTGTTGTATGTTAATATATCACCCTTGAAAGACAAACAATACAGTGGATGTTAAACCATCAGTTTTTTGTTGTAGTTTCATATGCTTTATTTTAATACTTACTATTTCTGTCTCATTCATTCCAGTCAGGGCATGGAAAGAAATCTGTTAGACACAGGAAAAACATCAAAACATCACAACGTGTTTGTGTCTCAAATCATTACACTGTGTTTGTGTATTCAACACATATTCTCAGTGAGAGAGGATCTGGCTTTCAACATAAGTGTGCCATGTATGTATGCAAGAACATATTATAACTCGAACACATATAGTAGACATTGTCCAAGTAAGTCTCTAGTTTATTAGATAAGCAATACAGAGACTGTTTTCACAAACCCATGGATTTAACAATCTGTTTTCAGTGACTGTGTCCCCTGAATACTAGAGCTTGTAGTTTAAGAACAGCCATGTGACTGTAATGTTCACAAGGAGGAACAGAAAAAGCAAACCAAAGTTTACTTACACATCTTTTATTGGTCTAATTCTCTCAGGCCACCTGTTCTGTGGCTGCATAAAACCAAGCAGCTGTGAACCCAGTGAACTCCAGGAAAGTGTGTGAATCTAACATTACAGATCAGAAGCCTGGATGTGACTTAACTTCAGTTTCAGAAGTGAAACAAATGAAAACCAAAGTGGTGTTTGCATGAAATTTTTAGTGGCCTGAAAATCTGCTGTATCATGTTGCACCTAATCTGGTGCAAGTGCAAACTGCTGCTGAAAAGAAGTCCCTCTCCTGCCTTTCTTTCCCTCCCAGCCAGACCTCTGCCAGCAGCATGGGACCTCGAGGTCCCTGGCAGAGGACCCAGTGCTCTGCCTCCCTTTGCCTACCTGACTGTTTTCTGTTGAACCAACTGATTAATCCAGCTCACCTTGCAGCTGCACAATCATTAGGTCTGCTGGAGGAAAGGCAGAGTGAACACGTGGCCAGGTACGAGCAGACTGGTGGGGGACACTAGCATTTTGCCATTAAATGGGGTGGGTTTAACATGAAAATGGATGCTAAGAAAAAGCCATACTTTATTTCCCTGGTGTTTCAATAGTTTATATTAAGTACTAACATATTCCCACACTAACTAAAGTCAAAATAAAACAATGTGTCCTGATCATGGGTGCGAATCATGTTTGATAAATTTCTGAGTGTGAATGACAGAAAAAGGTGAAGATATTTTTGAGAGTGCAACAGTATGTATAAAATATTACGCAAGTGTCAAAACAGAGTGAGATTTTCCGTGCACCTCGGTTCAATCTCACAGCTTGGTTAATTGATTTGGATGCTGCTTTGAAAATCTTTTACCATTTTAAGCTAAAGACTGAACATTTGAGACTTTACACAAGTCCCTCAGCACTGACATCATTCACACATTTTTATAAACTAACCACTCGGATATCTAGGACCGAAGATCACGGTCCTGTATTCGAGAGCTGAGCGTGTCATTTAAAAGAAGAGAGAGTCCTCTAGCGGAGAATTCCGAGTTTTACTCTTAATGTAACTTTTGCAGGGATTTGACTTTTTAATTGGTTTTGCCATGCAAAAATACCCCAGCTTACAAGCATGCTCTGAAAGTACAGTCAGCGTTTTAAATCTTCCAAGTTCGTGCTCACTTTCAGCTTCTTCGACAAAGTTTTTGGCTCTTTTTACTTCCTTGTGTTTTGGGTTTGTTTTTTTTAAATGAGATTACAGCTGTTCAGGAATGAACAAATATATACACACTTCAATAATATTTTTCTGCTACTAAAAAGAGTGTCATCTGATCAAGAAAGAGAAGGAATTACTTGCTTTATGTGACTCTCATAACAACATGATCAAATGGAGCATCTGCAAATTGCTCAAACACTCTTGCAAATAACAAATGTGCTTCCAGGAATAAGAATCAGTTACCAGCAGCAGAAAGTTAAATTGGCAATGAATATCAATCACAATGAAGCACTGGACCAGCTCTTGATGTGACACAACTTGAAGGGACACAATGTACTTTGAAAGGTCACTGATGTAATAGGATGAGACACAGTGACCTTTGTATGGTTGCCTTATTTGCTACACAGGCAGCAATCAAGCAACTATAAACAGCCTTCAGATTTCATTCCTGACCTCTCCTGAACATTTTTCATTTAATAACGTGTCAGTGGCTCTCCCTTCCTGTTTGGACTGCACAGGGATGGAGAAAAGAGAGATCAAGACAGATGGCAAAAGCCTGATCTGGTGATGGAAGGCTCTCTGTCTGTGAAAGCCCTCTGTGAGTTATAGGGTTCAAGAGAGAGAACTTGTGCTCATGTCAATAAAAAGAACCAAAGCAGTTCAGTTCACTTACTCCCTTATTTTTCTCTGACGTATTTCATCTTGGTCTGATATTCCTGTTACCAGCCTTCTATCTACCTTACACCTGATAGGGATTTCCTCTGCAGGAAGCAGCTTTTATTGTGCCAGATGAAATGCCAGATGAAATTGCAACTTTATCCTAAGCCTTGCAATTTCTGAAGTATTCATAGGGACCAGCTGCTAGACCATAAAATTTCAAAACAAAAAGTCAGCTTTTATTTAGAGAAAAGAGAGAAACAAAAATAAGAAATTAAAAAACAAGGCCAAGTCTCCAAATCCAGAGCATAAATTCAAAAATACAGAAGTCATTACTAAAGTGTGTTTCAGAGTTTCTAAAGCCCCACAGCACTCTTTTGAGGCCTGAGCTGTGGTTTCCAAATGTCGGAAGCTGGCAGTTCTGTGCCTGTGAAAATTTCTCATGTGGAGACTTTATTCTACACCACTCAGTTCTGGCCACTCCTGCGTTGCAGGGCATGCAGTGAATTTGGCAGACAGCAAGATCTGTCTGTGTGTGTCTATCATGTTACTAAAGTGTCTCTCCTTATTCATTACATTCAAATGCTTTGTAAGTAAACTAAGACTGAACTGCTGCATGGAGGATGCTTCAGGGGTTGAAGGGCACAGCTGTTAGAAATACGGAGTAGGAAGATGTAACCTTCATAGCACTCTTCCTCCCCACCTCAAATATTGAAGTACTAGGAGACAAAATCTTCAACAGTATTCCTAGGTGTCTGCTTTCCAGTATTATACCTGTGCTGCCTCTCCTTTCATTTCCTTCCAGACTAGATATTTGTAATTGCTCATCTGAGCAGAAATATCTGAAAGCCTGAAAATGGAAAAAGTAAGTGTAAAATGTTTTTTTTTTTTTCTACTAAAGAAGATTAAATAATGTCAAAGATAAAACAATGAAGTTATAAATACAATTTTCATGTGATTTTCCTTTGACTATTTCCCTAATATTTGCATTCTTTTTTATTTTTTCTCATATTCTAGCAGATGGCATCTCTGGGTGGATGTGAAAAGACATGGGACTCTCTGGCAGTAACCTCTGTTCTGTCTCATTTGCTGTCATGAAAATTCTCATTAGGGTTAAATTCATCCAATGAGAAAAAGGAAACCTGCCTTAAATTACACGAGTCTTCTCAAATTAATTTTTAGCTGGCAACAAAGCACTCTGTCATCCCCATGGCTTCTCACTAGGTTTTCAGCTCCTGAGTTTTCTCTCTATCAAGCATTTCCAAAACCACTATCTTTATTCTAGCAGACCTCATCTCCCCATTCAAAGTAGGAATAAGAGCAATTTGTCATTGCCCCATCATTAGCTTCATATACTCAGCTTATGCCCAACTTAATACTTCATTAGGAGTGGAAGGTGCACCTAACTAATGTAGGTAGAGAGGAAAAGAATCTCAAATGCTTTGAATACATTTTAGAAAATGAACCTTAAATTTTTGGAAGCCTAGTGAAGAATAATTGTGCCATGCTTCTCAGAGATTTTGAGAGCTTTTCCCATGGATTCTCGGAAGACCTGACCACTAAGATGAACGTAAATTAGATTACAGTATAAAGTGAAGCCTGCTTTTGGTGATTTGGGACTGCTTGTTATATGGTGCCAAAGGTTTTGACATGAGAGAGCAAGCTGTGAAACCAGCATTATCACAGAAAGCATTAGAAGCACAGCAGGCAGAGTCATACAAAGACTACAAAAGTTTCTGGTCTCTTTTTCAGTTTCTTAATAAGGTTCTTCCCAGGTGAAGAATAACCACTACTCTAGTTTTGGCTGCTGGTGCCCTAGAAGCACAGAGGTAACCAATCCAGAAACGACTCCCTTGCGCTGTTTTCACCCACTGGATTGCTCTCACCATCATCTCCTGGAATGACAGCTTATCTACAAACACTCCTAGACTGAGGCCTAGAAAGGAAAAAAATCATTTCCAGTGTGAGGGAGAACTGTAGGACACAGCTTCAGTGGTAGATGTGCTGATGATGACACCGGTGTGACTCTCACTACTCCTACAGTAGTCCACTTTCTCCTTAAAACCAGAACAGGCTAGTATGGCCATTGCCTTCTCTAACTTAGCTTTTGCAGATCCTTTAAGTATTTGATCTAGTATCCAAGAATTAATAAAACTTTGTTTATGCCAATAAACCCATAAACTAAGAAAAAATACATGAAGCACATAAAACTTCACACATACTAATGTGATTCTTGAAACCATGTAGTGCTTTATATCACAGCATTTGCAAAAACTATACAGTGATAAAGATTAGTTTATTAGTAATGCAGAATTCCTAAGTAACATGTATCACCTTTTTATTCAGATTGCCCCTTTGACCATGCTAAAGTGTCTTTTCTTGATACTTGCAGCCTATAATTATATCTGTACACAAGTTATTTTTTAGTTGGTTTTCATCTTTCTTCGCAAGACAGTTCTAGTTCAGTTGCTCAGAGTAAATGCAAAAAATATTGAATGGCTTGAAATCATGCTTTAACACTGTGCTGGGAGAACTTGCTTCTTGGGGTGCCCTATCTAGTAATCTGTGCACTTCTGAGAAAGTAGAGGCTGTTCAGCCTGGAGAAGAGAAGCTGCATGGAGACCTCATAGCAGTCTTCCAGTATGTGCAGGGGACCTACAAGAATGCTGAAGAGGGCCTCTTCATCAGGGGCTGTAGTGCCAGGAGAAAGGATAACAGGCACAAAATTAAACAGGGGAAGTCCAGATTAGATATAAGGAAGAAATTCTTTAGTGTGAGGGGGGTGAGGCACTGGAACAGGTTGCCCAAAGAAGCAATAAATGCTTCATCCCTGGCAGTGTTCAAGTCCAAGCTGGACAGAGTCTTGGGTGACATGGTCTAGTGTGAGGTGACCCTGCCCATGGCAAGGGGTTTGAACTAGATGATCTTAAGGTCCTTTCCAACCCAAATCATTCTAGGATTCTATGATTATTCCAAACTGTTGTAGGTAGAACTGGGACTAACAGGGAAGATCTTCCCATGCCAAGTCTAATGGTCTTGACTTGCAGCCCCTGCTGAGAGGAACTGTAAAGGTTACAGTTACAGGAAATTTCCCTCTAGCTTTTAAGAGGAAGATGCACGAGGAGTTTTTTTGCAAAGTAGACAGTTAAATCTGTCTGGCCTGAAGCATCAGGTCACTGTTAATCATGCTGACCCGCTTCCTGTTATTCTTGCTCTTGTTAGGCTGACTGTTCATAAATGTGTATTTTTATTTATTTTTTTTTAATACTAAGAACGGGGAAAGAAATGCTTTTTTGTGTGTGTGTTTTCTCATTAAACTGAATTTTGGTCTTATACAACAGGCTCCTGACACAGTACAGTGGTCATATTAACAAATAATGCAGTTTGGCCAAGATGAATTATATACACGAGAAAAAAATTTGTGCATTAGATGATTCTGAAAGATTATCAGATCATAATGCATATCAACCACTTGCACTATGTAAAGGAGTGTCTTATGAATGGTTTCTGAAGATGCATCATCAATAGTTCATTTACTCTACCATTTTGTAAAGAAACCAGAATCTCGATGTTCAAAGATCATTTACATCACAAATGATGCAAACCCAAAGTGCAGTGTTTGGCAACAAACAAGGAAATGTGCTCAGTCCCCATCATCTGTCCCTCTTCCTGCTCCCCCCCAGTAGACAAAAATCAAACTTCTGCACTAGGCGTGATTGATTTAATCACCTTCTTTTCTGTCTTCTTTTTTCCTTTAGTTACAGGGATGTGGAAAACGTCAATGGCATGAGTGCTTAGGGCAAACTATAAATGAGTTCATTTTAGATAAACTAAAACAAAACAAAAAAAAAGACGCCAAAACACTTAAAGAAATGCATAGGTAAGGAATCTGGGCTTGAAACGTGTCACTGCAAAATGTCATCTGTCTTGAAGGTTATGAGATAGAAACTACAGGAGGTAAGGTTTCACAAACCAAATAATCTCAGCTGCTCCCTTATGCAGTGCAGGTTCAAAGTAACCAGTAACCAGTTCAAAGGTGGCTCAGTATTTTTGTATAAATAACTCCGTTTCTTTTCCAGCTAGTGGAGTGTTCCTGCTTCTGGGCACTGAAGCAATCTCAGCAAGGGCACAGATATTGAGAACTGTGTTAAAGTAACCTCAAATGATTTAACGTCTGTACTGTAAGAGAAGTTAATTTATCATATAAGAATGAATTCAGAAAAGAACTTATTTCTGATAATAAAATATCTTGCTAGAAACCTAGTTTAGTTTTTTCATGCAGGCAGCAATTTTTATTAATCTCTACCATTTGACTGACACATATTTCAATTTTCAGATGATTTTTCTACAGTGCTGGAACAGTATATTAGCTGAAAAATACACTCTGGAATGTGAGTGTAAAGTATGCATCCATTATGCAGCAGCATCAAGGCAGAATCAGACTGCACTTTGAGACAAGATATAGTATCTGTCGCTCCTGTGAATGAGCCTTGATTAAATTAAATTCCCTACAGGGACAAAGGTTCAAAAGTTCCTGGTTTAATAAAACATATGGCAGAAAATGTGGGAAACAGTCAAGTAGGTGAAGCTTTAGCATGGTAAACGGATCTATTTACCAAGTATATGCATTTTCTCTGTACACAGCTATTCCTTGTCAAAATACTTTTTTCTTAAATAACTCAGTGTTTGCACTGTTCATACAACGTGTGTGAAACACCCCACAGTGACTACGGGTATAGCTCTGTGTACACTTTGAAAGAGGAACAGAAATTCCAAGAAAAAATACTGTGAGACACTCTGGGGTCTTTAATTAAAATATAGAAAATATATATAACCTATATATTATTAATTTTCTATTCAGTTCAACAATTTAGAACTGTACTTACATTTTTTAGCCTTAGAAGAGTCTATCCTCTCTTAACTATTTCATAGATAAAGTTTGGAAGAAAAGCTGAACAACTGGTAGCTTGCGAAGATGATGGGAGGCAATTATCAGATTTCAGCCCGTGTTTTTTTGTATGAGCATTTAATAGTGTAGAGCAGATTAAAAAAAAACAGTTGGTCCTGGAATATATGAAAAATATTAAGTATGACCTACTGCTCAGATACAGTACTGACAATTCTCATGCTGCAATACCTGGATGCATAAACTGAAGGAGGTGACAGAGGTCTGGGTTTTCAACCATGTTACTGTTTTAACTGCAGCCAATTGTAGTGCATGCTGTTGTGCTTTTCCTGATTTTCCCACATTGAAGACTCAAATTGTTTGGTAATGCCTTCAAAGAAAAAAGTAATTTTTATACAACTGTTTTGATAAATAGCACTACAAGCTATGCACAGGTCTCATGGACTGCTTTTTAAACATGTTCATGTATCTAAATTTAGAGTAAAGTGGTTCAAGCAAAGAAAAAAGATTGCTCATTCTTGCCAAGTGACAAAAAAAATAAACTAACAAAAAAAAACACAAAAAAAACCAAAAAAAAAATAACAACAAAATAAAACCAAAACAGAACAACAACCAAACATGAACCTTCCACAGGCTTGTCTTGAGACAGAATGACAACAAACACAAGAGCTGAGTGGATGATCTCATACGCCTTTTTAAAGTACACTTTCACACTTCTTTTTCCTTTCCAGGAGTATCAGAGTACAACTTTGAAGAAAATTATAAAACCAGCTGATGCATCTCCCACAGAAGAGTTTAACTGCTCGCCATCTCCACTGTGAATACTGTCAGGATGCTGCCAGCACTAACCACTCTTAATTGTCCTGACCAGCCTTACCTGGTACCCCCTCCCTGAACTCCCCTGCCCCAGTTCTCTGACAGGGCTTCCCAGATGGACTCAGGTTCACACTGCTGCCTTGTCTTCAACTGCATCTTCAGCTTTGTCTCCTGTCTTATCTCCTGCTGCCCTGGATGGAGCTGGCCCTGGCTCACCCTATCTCATCTCTTGTGTCTGGGGCTGCTGACAGACACCGTTACCAGACCCTGGCTCTGCTGGCCCTGCTTGTGTGCTACATGCAACACTGCACCCTGGTTGGCGAGGGCATTGCCAGTGCTGGAGTCACCCCTGGCTCCTGGCTCATCCTTCCTTGGGGAGCAGCCCCACTGTCACTCTTCCCTGACAAACAGGACAAAAGTTTATTGAAATTGCAGCAAGACAAATTTAGGATAACCATAAGGAAATCTTCCCAACTGTAACCTGTTCTTAAGGACCATTCCAGTCCTGATTTCCATGAACCTGTGAGATGCCTGCAATAGCCAATGACTGAAGTTAAACTCAATGTTTATGAAGCTTTTTATTTTTTTTTCTCGTGTGTGGCTCCAGGGTATATTTGCATGGTTCTTCACTCTTACAACTCACACTTCCTCTTCAACACTCAGTAGAATTGCTTTGTGACAGACCTGTAACTGATCTTACAATAAAATTTCAGTTAGATGTCAACTTTGACACCAGTGGTGGTTCCACTAATAAAGTAGCTTCCCTTTAGCTCTTCTCATGCAGAAGAACAACTGGATCTGCAGACAATCCTGATGCTACTACGTATATCTTGAATCTTTTCTATCTGCCAGTAAGGTATATTCTGACCATCTTCAGGAAAAGGAGACCAGATAAGCCCATGTGGGATTCCTAAAATATCTGTAACATTCCAGAGTAACAGATTTTGCAATTTTGCAAAATACCACTGCCAGCTTTCCTCTACAATACATTTTGTATGAGGCATAAATAAATTCTTTTGATATTGAGATGCCCAGCTGGGGTGTCTCAGGCCTCAGCTTGTGTGACACAGCACCATGGCATCAACATGACGGCTGCCTCTGGATAAACATGTTAATTTAAAATAATCATAAGCATAAACTGCAAAATAAATGAGCTAGCTTTGTATCTGCAATGGAAATCAACTAGGGCACACAAGAGCTTTTGCTTTGATGTTTTAACATATTTGTGTAATAGCTGTTTTGATGTTTGCCTGAGACATGCCTCCAGATTCTTCCTGTCATGTATTAGGAAGGTGAATGCAAAGTGTAACAGCTGCCTCTTTCTTTCTCCTCCTTCACTTGACTGTTAAGTCTTTCATCATGTATTAGCACAAGGAAAGTGACCCGAAAGATATATTACTTCAACTAAAGAAGTCATGTAAAAGCAATATGATGGAGTATGAGATAAAAGACTACAGGTATGGACAGAGGAACTATTCTGGTTACAGCCAAGCTGAATCAACATTTTATTGACACCATTTTCCCACAAACACAGAGTTGTTCATTCTCACCTTTATCTGCTCCCTCTGCTGAGGTCCCAGCCACTGGGTTTGGGTTTTGTCTCCTTGTTTCATTTTTAATAGATTGAGTTATGTAGGCTCTGAAACAGTTCTGAGAATTGACCCAACTTTATAAGAAAAGGGTTTTTTCAGGCTGGCTCAAATCTATCGATCAGAGATCAACCAGGCAAACAATTAAATGAATAGTACTGAGAAATGAAATCTCTACTGAGCCTGTGGTGTGGGTGGAAGAAGAGGATGAGCTGATAAAACATTGCCCTGAACCTGCTGCCGGCAGCACAGCTCATGTCACCATTCCATATGCTAAAAAGCATCAGCTAAAATACAGAAATGAGATGGAGATTACATTTATGGCACTCTTATTAGGCGTCATTGCCAAATGACTGAAAGGACTGATTAAATCAGTTTTAGGGCACCATAAAAAAATGCAAGCTCTTCTATCAATGTGGGGTTTTCTCCCAAGCAGGAAATTGAATCTGACTATTGTTAAATGAAGATTTTTATGAATTTGCTTTAGATATTTATTATCAGGCATTTTTTAGCTCCTGGTTTAGCCCCTCTACTGTATAGTCACATGGTTTCATACTTGTCAAGAAAAATCCTTCTCATTTAAAAAAATATCTGAAGAACTAACCCATTATTAGGGCTCTATGCTCTTCATCCTACTGCCTGACTTCCATGTCTTGTTTGATCATTTTTTCTGTAGCATTCATAAATAATTGAAACTGTTGGTGATTTTCCTTAACTTATGACATGTATCAAAGAGCTTAAGAGAATGGCAGAGATAAAGTAGCATAGTATAGCTTCTTATCTAAAGCAGAAATAAAACAATCCAGTTTCTAGGACAAATTTTTCATTTTTATTACCTACTTCTTTTGCCTGCCTTCCTTCCTGTGTTTTTTGGTTCTTTTTAACCAGTACCCAGGCTAGGTCATTCCTGCTTATAAGCAAGACAACACTTGGAATCTCCAGCAAACTTTGTATTTTGACATTTGTGGAAATATAAAGTGCTGGAAGGGCTTCTTGTTAAATATTTGCCGCTAAACTGAAAGGAAGAAAGATGGGCTCTTCCTGGCAAAGCACAAATCCACAGGCTCACTGGGTAAATTTCAGAAGTAAGGGCCCTCTTCTGAAACTAAATAGCTAATTAGAGCTAAATAGAACGAGCAACCTTTTTTTTTTTTTCTGGTCAGAAAGCTAAAAATTGACCCAGTATAATTGTTCTATAGACATACAGGCAGCCTCAACCACTATCCTAATACAGATATTACTCAGGAGGTGATGTGAGGGTTTTATTTTGGTTTCTCTGCACCAATGATGAGATCATTGCTGAATGTTACGTCCAATTCTGATTTCAGTGCTTCAGAAAAGATGCTGAAGAATTTGGAAAGGCCTCAGAGATGATCTCTGAGAATGACTGTGGACCTGGAAAGGTCCAAGAAGGAAACAAAAACTGTATCAGTGAGTATATGCTGAGTTGGTACAGTGACAACTTTGCTGAAGATGCATACAGATAAATGAAACCAAAGGCTTGTTTTGTTTGTCCTTACAGGAAGAGCAGCTTACTCATTTCCCATAGCAAGCAAAAATTCAGTCTTTTTCAGTACTTCACGTTCCCTCAAACAAAAACTGTGGTTCTGTGAAGAAATAACTTGGGCGAGACCCAGAGGATCAAAGGCCAGGGCTGCACTGCAGTGTGAACAGGTGGCTCAGGGTAGCTTGTGCAGGTCATTCACCTGGTACAGCAGGACACCTAGGGCTTGCCTCCGTGCTGAAGCAATACTGAGGGTGTTCTTAACACGTGCTGCCAGGGCTGCACCTGGGCACAAGTGCAGTGGGTGATCCTAGACTGTTCCAGCCACAAGAAAAGGTTTCAAGTTTGTCTTGTATTGCCCTCCTCCTCACCCTTCCTTGCCAGTAACTGGCAGTGCATGTCCCCCTTTGCTGAGCTGGCAAGAAGCTGCAGTGCTGCTGGTAGGTCATTATCCATAGCAGCCCCATGTCAGGGTGGTAGGGCATGGACTGAACTGCTGCTCTTTTTTTCCCTTCGGGTTCAGGATGTTTTCACCTGAAAAAAGATGATCAACGGTCATGTTCACCCTTACGATATGTAAAGCTGGCTGTAAATCTGGTAATCTTACTTGAAAGCCTTAAATCTGTAGTAGGAAAGTATTTCTTTCACTTCAGGAATAGGTGTATTGACTTAATGGAATTAACTATAAACATATTTGACTCTCTAGGGTCTCTGACATTTCACAGAATCACAGAAGGGTTTTGGCTGGAAGAGACGCTAAAGACCATCGAGTTCCAACAACCCTGCCACAGGCTGTGACACCTTCCGCCAGACCACGTTGCTTTAAACATTACGGTGGGTGACAAGTGGGTCAACCCCCCCCCAACCATATTCCTGGTTGAACCAGCAGTGACTCTCCTCTGCATACGAGTCTTAAACTGTACTGACCTGACTGGAAGCATGCAAATACCGACGCAACCAGTCACGTACTGAAGTCGTTTGCTCCACAGAAAACGGTGTCACTTGCCCGTCCTGAATCTCCCCTAAGTGCGCTTTGCTGACAATGGCCTTTTCCCATGGCCGTACCCGGGATGCCTCGTCCGGCTATGGGCGCAGGGCTCCTCAGGGAGGACGGAGCAGCAGGACGGCGGTTTCCCTCAGCCCAGCGCGCCGGGAGCCACGCGGTCCCGTCGGCCATGCCGCTACCGTACAAGGGACAGAAGCGCAGTCGGTAACCAGCCGGCACGGCGCAGCAGCCCGCCCCTGGCGCACAGCACGGCGAGGCGGCAGGCTGGGCAAAACCGCCGCTGAGGGCAGGGCCCGGCCCGGCCGCTGGCAGCACCACCCCGCCGAGCTCGGCCCTGCTGCGCCAGAGGCGAGGCGGTGCCCGCAGCGCGCCCAGCAGGTGGCGCTGCCGCAGCGTGGGCTGTGGCCGGACGGGAATGGGCGGAGCCACCGTTTGCGCGCGGTACGTGACCTGCGCCGGCAGTGCCCAGCGGGGCTGCCCGCCGAAGGGGAGTGGTCGCCCGGCGTGGCGGGTGTGGCCGCCATTACTTGCTGAGGGGTGCGGGGGTGTGGGGTGGTCTTGTCATCGCCCCGGCCCGGCGCGGGTGCTGTTGGCCGTGGGGCGCGGTCGTGGTCGTGGTCGTGGTCGTGGTCGTGACTGCGGCCAGTTCAGATCCGCGCCTGGAAAGCGGAACGGTCACGTCTGGGCGTTAACCTTGTGGGGGGTTGCTGAGGGGGAAGCGGGCGCGGGCTGCCCTGCCGGCCCTGCGCTGGCGGCCATGTGCGGAGCGGAGCGCGGCAGGCGAGCGTGCGTTCCGAACCAGCTGCAATTAAAAATGCAGTTACGTGTAGTTAAGAGCACCTGTTTTTGAGCCTTCAGCGTGACCCCGTGCGAGGCCATGTAGAATTCTGTAGGCTGCCAGAGATCTCAGCAAGAGTTGGCAGAGAAGAAAATGCAAGTGGTCTTTTCAGAAATCATTCCAGCCGCAGCAACAAAACCAAATGAAGAACCTCGAACGGAATAAACCAAAACCCAAACACAACAGCAACAAAAATAAATCGGCCACAGAATCACATAATACAGGTTGGAAGGGACCTGAAGGGTCCTCTGGTCCAGCCTTACTAGGTGGGTCATTGACCTAGACTAGATATCCCAGCGCCCTGTCCAGTTAAATCTTAAAGTGCCCAGCGTTGGGGAATCCATCACTTCCCTGGGGGGATTAGTCCAGTGGATAATTGTTCTCACTGTGAAAAAATTTTCCTTCTATGTTCAGTTGCAATCTCCCCAGGAATAACTTGTGCCTATTACCTCTTGTCTTTTCCATGTGACATCTTGTGAAAAGGGAATCTCCATCTTTGTAGAGGAAATCTGCAACTCCTCAAAAAATCCTCAAAATGTTTTCAGGTTTGTGGTTACTGCAAAGCGCCGGGTTTGACCTGGAGAAGGATGGAGGTGTACCTAGGCAGAATGTGGCCTGAGGCGGGGATGTGGTCCATACAGTGTCTCGGGGAAGTAAACCGAGCGCTTGGTGAGTGCGGTGGGGCCTGGAGCGCGTGTGAGGGCACACTGTTCGCTTCCCTTTCTGGGGAAGCTGCACTCTGGGATCCATGCTTAGCCTCCAGTCTGATACGGTCCACTCGGGAGTAAGGCGCCCCTGCGGCTGGGCACTGCTGCAGCTCTGCCGGCAGAAGCAGAGCTGCCAGGGTTGGCTGATTTGTATCACTGGGGGAAGGTTGGCATCAGGGACACTTTTATTCTCTGTGGAAGGAGCAGCAGACCTTTGAGCTGCAGGTAAAGGAATTTGACTGGAAACTCAACTTTTAAGAAATAACAAGGAAAATGGACCTTCTGGCATCTGGGTGCTCAACAGAGACAGTGGAACACTATTCTGGCCAGGTTATAGTTAGTATCTTTTGGGTATCTAAGCTATGGAAATAAAAATAATGAAAATGTAGAGAGCAGTAATTGTCCTAAGTTAAGCTTTAGTCAGATGGTCATTGGCCTATAATTACATTGTATCTTTGTTTTAATTATTCAGAAGATGGAACATTTCAGATTTGTGTAGCAATACTCTGGTAATGCCATACACTCCATTTATATTTAGCTGGATTAGTTAATTTAAACAAATCTCAGGCTGAAGTTTTAAACTAATACACTGAACAGTCCTGCTGAAGTTGAAATAACTGAATATATGTTACGGAAGTTAACTGTGCTGAGTAAGGACCAGCATATATGTTCAGCCCCTTTGGGAGCATTTGCTCTTTTGAATGTGGGTGGAAAACATCTGTACCTATTTACTTTCTCTGAGTCTTCACAGTGTGCCTGTAACTACATCCATGGCTGGCCTGCCAAAATGCATGATGAAGATAGTAAAGCTGCTACCGTGAAATGCAGTTCTCCTTCAGTTTGAACTGAGACATCTGCTGGCTTTAGCAAAGTTCTGCTCAATACAACTGAAGGTTTGAAAAAGAAATATTAATAATGTTAATCTTAGTAATATTAATAATGCAATCTGCTATTGATTGCAAGGAAAGCAAGCTCTCTAAAATTGAAGGCAAGCCTTGGTGCTTGTCTCAAGGATTTTGTTACTCAAGCTGAGATAGCAAAGAAGCACTTTGAAGGTTAATTTTGGGCCATATGATGACAGCAACAGGTGAGATGTGGTAATCACCGTAGATACTTTATAGATTTACATTTTGTAAGGTATGTATTTAAAAGATGAAGGGAGGTAATGCAAAACCTATGAACTGGTGATAGAGAAAGCATGAAGTAAATCTCACCTAATGAGCAGTCAGAAGTGGATTCTTGAATCTGTGAAATACTGTTCTGCTTGACTAGCATGGAACATTTCATTTTAGCATCAAAAGGAATTCAGGTGTCACAGCCAGTTAATGAAATAGTGATTAAGCAACTAAACCGAAGGATTCATACTTCCTGTTGTTAAGGAGAATGTGTGCTCATTTTTAGTGGCAAAAATTATAATATGATTTTGGTGGGTAACACACAATTCTAGCCCCTTATTGCTGACTACAAATGTAAATTCAGAAGAAAATTCTAAATCAGTTTACCTATGATGAGGGAAGTCTTGTCAGATGTTAGGTGAAGTCTAGCTAATTAAGGAAGTGCATTCAGGCTCTGCCAGAAGATCAGATATTATTCTTATTTTCATCTTAATAAGAAATCATTGATGGCGTAAAGAGTTTCTTTGATTATTAAAATAGGACATGAATATTTAAACCTTTTACAGGTAAGGACATGTTGATATGAAAGTAGCACAGAGAGGAAATGTCATTACGCTCTTCTTTTTTTTTAATGTTTCCATTTCACACTGTCTCAGGAAATCAAATTAAGGTACTCCAGTATTCTTATTAAATTCACTGGATGGGAGCTAAGAAAGATGATTAAGAGCTTGCATTTGCTGCTTATAATATGGCAAGAAGCAAAGACATGTAAGACACCAGTGAAGAGCAATTTTAGGCCTCGTACTTTCAAACTCGCCTTTTTATATACTATTACATGTCATTCCTAGTCCCTCTTCATGTTCTTATTATCACCTGCAGAAGAGGAGGCACAGCACAGGCAGAGTGGAATAATAAAAGGAAGCAGAGTAATAATGAGATTTTATATAATGCTCTCTATCATGAGTACTTAAAGCTGAAGTTAATAGTAACCGTGAACTAGCTGCTGTTTCACTAGTTTAGAAATTACTGAACTGTAGCACTAATAGTTGTCAAAGTATGGCATAAAAAAAATACTCTGTCACTGAGGTCCTATGCATGTATTATGTACTGTGGGTAATGTCAGTAAGAGCTTAGTCATACCATACTCTCACATGATGTAATTAATACAGAGTAAATGGCTCTGAAATTTAACACCAGCCAGAGTGTAGTAATTGTGGAATTGTCCCAACTCTCAAAGAATGTGTGAGTGGATGGTGTTAATAGCTTGATCATGTAGCAGCAAGGGTTTAAACATAGATTATGAAGCATATAATTTGGTTCCTCAAGGGGCAACTAATTTGACAGCAGGCACCTTGTAGTGGAAGCTGACTTTTTGGTAGAGCTGTGGAACAGGCCAGGTTTTATTTTTAGGAGCATATGAGATCTGTTGGATCCTGCAATTATTCACGTCTGATCTGTAGTATTCCAAGAGCATTTCCAAGCATCCTGATTCACCAGGATATGTCTGCTTCTGATCTTGCTTTATTTTGGGGTTCAGTGTTTTAAGGAGAAGTACCACTGCTGCAACTACAGCCTACAGCAAGATCTGTGTCAGATGTCACAGACTGGCTCTTTAGAAATCTCACATACCAGAAGTTTAGGTTTCAGAGGAATGGCAGGTACTCAGAACTTGCAGAAATCCTAGCCAAAATCTTCACTGACCTTATGTGAGGTATTTTAAATAACCTGTATTAGAGCAGTAGAATAGTAAGCATCAGTTGTGTGCTCAGTTTTAACTGAACAAGAAAAACTGCAATCATAGAATCATAGAATCGTTAGGGTTGGAAAGGACTTTAAGATCATCTAGTTCCAACCCCCCTGCTGTGGGCAGCGACACCTCACACTAAATCATATCACCCAAGGCCTCGTCCAAACTGGTCTTGAACACTGCCAGGGATGGAGCATTCACAACCTCCCTGGGCATCCTATTCCAGTGCCTCACCACCCTAACAGGAAAGAATTTCCTTCTTATATCCAACCTAAATTTCCCCTGTTTAAGTTTTAACCCGTTACCCCTTGTCCTGTCAGTACAGTCTCTAATGAAGAGTCCCTCTCCAGCATCCCTATAGGCCCCCTTCAGATACTGGAAGGCTGCTATGAGGTCTCCACGCAGCCTTCTCTTCTCCAGGCTGAACAGCCCCAACTTCCTCAGCCTGTCTTCATATGGGAGGTGCTCCAGTCCCCTGATCATCCTCGTGGTCCTTCTCTGGACTTTTTCCAACAGTTCCATGTCCTTTTGATGTTGAGGACACCAGAACTGCGCACAATACTCCAGGTGAGGTCTCACGAGAGCAGAGTAGAGGGGCAGGATCACCTCCTTCGACCTGCTGGTCACGCACCTTTTAATGCAGCCCAGGATACGGTTGGCTTTCTGGGCTGCGAGTGCACGCTGCCGGCTCATGTTCATTTTCTCATCAACCAGCACCCCAAGTCCTTCTCCGCAGGGCTGCTCTGAATCTCTTCTCTGCCCAACCTGTAGCTGTGCCTGGGATTGCTCTGACCCACGTGTAGGACCTTGCACTTGTCATGGTTAAACTTCATGAGGTTGGCATCAGCCCACCTCACAAGTGTGTCAAGGTCCCTCTGGATGGCATTCCTACCCTCCAGCGTATCAACCGAACCACACAGCTTGGTGTCATCGGCAAACTTGCTGAGGGCGCACTCAATCCCACTGTCCATGTCAGTGATGAAGATGTTAAACAAGACCGGTCCCAACACCGATCCCTGAGGGACACCACTCGTTACTGGTCTCCAGCCGGACATTGAGCCATTGACCACAACTCTTTGTGTACTGGTACACAGGAGGAATCTTAGAATATTATTCTTTAAAAGCTTTATGTTTTTCACTTTCTAGTTATTGCTAACATCTAATGGAAGGTCATTTTTTTATAATATAATTTGTGCTCAATAGTGCCAGCTCAGTTCTTCCCAGAGATTCTTGAAGTACAGTTGTGCTTAATGCTATAGAAGCACAACAGTGTGACAATTATTCTTTGAGAGTAAGTTCGGATTTAGTTGGGCTGGACAGATGGAAAAAAAAAATTAGATAGCTCATGACTTGAAAATGGTTCTGAGTTCTGTCAGGTTTTTTAAAATTATCATCTGATAGCTATACAATAAACTAAATTATTCTAACACCAGGAATCAATGAGAAGTCATTTAAAAATGTAAGGAAGCTGTATATATGCAAATACTATATGAGAAATTTCATAACAATCACTTAAAAAATGTAATTTTCAACTTGAGAGACTGAATAAAATGATTTTCCTAGAAGTGTATTTCAGATCCTTCTTGATTTGCGGCAATTGGTACCTCCTAATTTGAGGGACCTTTTCAAGTTTGGACTAACCCCCATTTTCTTTTTAAAACTGTAGAGAATATGTAGGAATTGTCATTGTGAGGCGCATTACAATCTCAAAAACTGCTGTTAAAAATTCTTTAGAAATAATGCACTGGAATAATTTGAACTAGCTTTAACTTAGCCATTGAGGTATCAGGAGTGCAATACATGACTTTGGTATTGAGTAATTGGCTCTCAGCAGGTAAGCTGGTTAACACTCCATTCCCTGCTGTCATGGATAGCCTTCTAATATAAATGTCTAATACATGACCAGCCAGCTTAAAGTTAACTTGGCTATCTCTTTACAGTGCTGCATTGTCTTTGTTGTTGTAACTCTTGTGACTTGCTGGCCTAAAATGGTTTCTAAATCTTCTTTTTTTTCTTTCTTATTCCAAAATAATAGTAGTACATGCTTATTCATATAGCAAGATGTATTTTTCTTTTAGGAGGGCAGAATTTAATTTCCGTAGTGCAAGTCCATCTTGTAGAAAAGTTTAATTCCCATAAGTTAAACCCCCTCCTTCCTTTCAGCTGACTGGAAGAGAGATTCAGATGTTTTGTCCTTGAGATCACCATCCTGAGCCTCAACACCGAAGATATTTAAAATCAGCAGATGGATTTCTTACTGTACCAGATGAAGTAGAACAAGTTAAGTATGGTGCCAAGATAGATAACCTGTTTCAAGACATTTCTTTTATGTCAAACAACCCTTGACATTATACTCAAGTAACAGTCATTCTCAATTATCACTATCAAGTGTTACCATACTGCAGTATGTAGTGGTTTCTATTCCATATGCTTATAAAATAGGTCCAAAGACAGACATTCACATGAAAAATGTCCAGATTTTTATTGCTGTGCCATCTGTGCTGAATAATTCTGCAGTTTCTGGTTTACATTAAGAGCATAACGAAAACTGCTGATAAAGAGGGGGGAAATGAACAATTTCATTCAAAAATTATTCCTGTAATAGCTGAAATCTACAGATTTTTCAGATAATATGTATTTAAACATTTGGCTTAAGGGAAGTTAACATTTTGAGCAATGGTATGTGTGGAAGGGCGAGCTAGAGATCTAGGTGAGAAGTGAATGCACCAATCTTAACTGTATGATATCCATCATATATTCTCAGTGCTTGTCCCTGCTGCTTTGAAATTCTTCATACATAATTTTCCATAGGAGTGAGGAAAAAATTGCATAAATGTATATTGTTTATGTGTCTAGAACAGCTTAATAGAAGCCTTAGTCAAAGGACTGAGATTTTAGTGAGAGATTTCTACTGTCTTTTGAATGTGATGAGATTTATAGTCATCTGCTCTTGCAGAAGAGGCTTCCAAAGTGTGAATTCAGTTATTGAAAAAGTTCTGTTTCCTGTTGTGATCCTGCTTTAAGAAGGATACCATTATATATTTGTAGCTTTCTCCGAATTCAGAAAACAGTAAACCAATGGCATCTTGCACTTCATCAAAAGAAGTGTGGCCAGCAGGTCAAGGGAGGTGACTCTTTCCCCCTGCTCTGCTCTCATGAGACCCCACCTGCAGTATGGCATTCAGTTCTGGGCCCCAAACATAAGAAGGGTATGGACTTGCTACAGCAAGTCCAGAGGAGAGCCACAAAGATGATCTGAGGGCTGGAGCACCTCTCCTGTGAAGACAGGCTGAGAGTGTTGCGATTGTTCAGCCTGGAGAAGAGAAGGCTCTGGGGAGACCTTAGAGCAGCCTTCCAGTTCCTAAAGGGGGCCTACAAAAATGCTAGAGAGAGACTTTTTATAAGGGCATGTAGTGATAGGACAAGGGGGAATGGTTCTAAACTAGGTTCAGATTAGATGTTAGGAAGAAATTCTTAACTGTGAGTGTGGTGACACACTTGAACAAGTTGCCCAGAGAAGTTTTGGATGCTTTGTCCCTGGCAGTATTCAAGGCCAGGTTAGATGGGGCTTTGAGCAACCTGATCTAGTTGAAGGTGTCCCTGCCCATGGTGGGGAGATTGGAACTGGATGATCTTTCATGTTACTTCCAACCAAAACCATTTTGTGATTCTGTGAATTGTAGTTATTTATAAAGACCTAAAATAATTTTGCATGGGGTTTGGAAGGAAAGGCTATATCTTAATATAGTTTTATGTATACAATGATTACTTTTAGTTTCAGCAAAGTGGAAATAAGGAGTTGTGTAAGCCTTAATTATGCTGTTAATTTTATTTCTTGAGATATAGTAATGAAATTGAATTGCTGTTTAAGAAATTCTTGTATCAGTTTGAAACTGCTGTACTCCCTGCAATATTTTGTCTGTAGGTACATTACAGTAGTGGAGAAATTACTTTTAAAAAATCAGATTTACTAGTAAATTCGTATTTTATTCCTTCAGTGTGTTTATTGGAGCACATAGATGTGTATTCTATTTTTTAGAGATACTGTTTTAGGTCTCTGGTCTTCTCTGCAGCCTTGGAGCTCGCAAGTGCTGTCTGTGCTAACTATAGTCCTGCGCTTGTGATCCTGGCAAGTGGCATCCATCAGCACAAGCCCTTGGAGATATGCTGCTAAGTCTCTTTCTAGAGCTGTGTGGCAGGTGAGCACTAACAGGAGCCACACTTGGTGTTGCCTGTAAGAACAGGATGTGTAGACGCTCACAGGATCTGTGGCGTGTAACCAAGGTCAGCACGTAGCGCAGCACAGGGAGAAGAGGTTCTCTCAGGGAGGCTGCCTTACGTTGTTTAACAACCTAGATAGGAATTTTGCTTGCTTGTGGGTCTTTTGCACTGGGAGGTGGGAGTTTGGATTTCTAGGTTAATGATAGTGGTAATTATAGAAGATACCTAGAAGTTAGAACGCTAGGTTTCAGAGGTTTTTGATGTTATGTTTTGTTTTGTTTTCCATAAATACTGAATGGTTATGATATGTTTCTGAAAAAAATTGGAGCATTTGGGCTATAAATTACTAGTCTGTTCACTGCTTTAAAGATGAACCTGAACTATCTGAGGATGAATTGCAAGACTGAATTGTGTGAAGCCAGAACCTGCAGTATCTGGCTTTATCTTGGAGGCAGGTACTAACTCCAGACAGTTCTAGGTACCAGGTTTCAGTGCTGCAAACTAGGCAGCTCATCTGTCACAGTTCCTAGTAAAAAGCTTGGTGCCCTGGACTAGAAAGACTTCTGCTCCTGCAGAAGTCCTTGGATTGTCACTCTGTAGCAATATCTCTACAGCTAGATACAATTTCTGGAGCGTGAGTGGTGTACATCCTTCTTATGAAACCTTGACACACTGCACAATTTGGAGGAAACCAAAGGGAATGCATTTATAAAAAAATTCAGAACTCCTGCATTTTATATATTACTCTATGCCAAGCTCTATCTTGAAACAAAAAGTTTACTGGCTTTCCCAATTTTAAAACCATTGTTACAGAGGAACCTGTCAGCTGATGTTCTCTGCCCTCTCTCCCTTTCTAATTTTGCAAATGCATTCATTTGGGGAGAGGGAGGAGGCCAGAAGAGAATATGGCAAAAGAGAGATGTATCTGCAATGTGTGACTACTGGGAAATAAATATATCCCATTGGTCTCTCTGTATGCCATATTTCAGCAAGAAAGTCATGTTTTTCAAGTGACTTTACACTTTTTTGCTGTAAGTGTTAATTAAAAAAGCTGTTGTTATATAGGCAATGAAGGCCCAGCCTTGCCATTGCCCTTCGCTCACAGGGAGGTGTATACAGATGACAGGATTAGACATGGCTGATCTCAGATCGTGTCCTGCAGTAGCTCTGAGTTGTGACATCACCACCAACTTCATAGGAAAATGTGTAGGACTACAGTGTCATGACTTTGCCCATGAGAAAGCTGAAGATGTTCGTTTGTCCAGTTCTGTTCATCGTTGTTTCATGTGTAAGGGATTTTTCCACGGATATCTATTATAACATTGAATTTTGCTGCAGTATTTCAGAAAGCATATACTTTATGTTTCATATGAAAATTGTCTAGCTTCTTCTAGTTACAATAGCTGCTTGTTCTGCTGCCAAGAAAGTAGCATCATCAACTACTTGGATTATAAAATTACAGAATAAAGACAACAACAGAAATACACCGTTATTTTTCCTTCCCTATATCCTGCCTTGTGACAGGAATCCCTCCCCCTTCCAAATTCGTTGCTTAACAATAAACAAAGCTGCTTTCAACAGCTATTTATAGCCTCTGCGGAGTGTAATACAGTTCAGCCATGACAGTATTAAGAAATGGGATTATCTTCATAGTTTTGATGTTTTAGTAAACTTTATTTGATTTATAACCTCTCCTAAACTCATAGAATTATAGAATGGTTTGGCTTGGAAGGGACCCAAAAAATCATATAGTTCCAACCACATTGCCATGGGCAAGGACACCTTCCACTAGACCAGGTTGCTCCAAGCCCTGTCCAACCTGATGTGAACACTTCCAGGGACAGGGCAAGCCACAGCTTCTCTTGGCAACCTGTTCCAGTGCCTCACCACCCTCACAGTGAAGAATTTCTTCCTAATATCTAATCTTAAGTCTATCCTCTTTCAAAGCGATTCCCTTTTGTCTTATCACTACTTTTTATAAAAAGTCCCTCTACAGAATTTTTGTAGGCCCCCTTTAGGTACTGGAAGGCTGCTATATGGAGTGTCTACAATCCCAATAATAAAGAATAGCATAAATACGTTTGTTTAGGTAAATGTTTTATTAACATCAGCAGAGAAAGATGTTCACTGCAAGGGATACAGTGTCACCACAACAACTCCGGAAGTGACTGGAAGTTTTAGTTTACTCAGCCTGGGGATTTCAGGTTGCTTGTATGTTTCATTCCTATTAATAGAAGTTTTTGTTGCTCAGTGTTTTGGGAAATTATGTAAAGATATTTGGCTGAATCCCAATATATCAGAAAACATTTTTTAAAACCTTAAAAATCTGTCTACTTTGCCCAAGGAAAATGCCTTGAGGAAAGGACTTCACATTCCCTAGCTATAAGTTAATAATTATGGTGAACAAAATTAAGAATTTAATCACAAAGGACTCCCTCTGTTGTCAACAAAGAGGATCTTTCAGGGGATTCCTGACTAGAAGTCTTAACTCAGATCTCGGTGCTGCCCTTCAGAGGAGGCTTGTGAGAGAGACAAGAAAACTTAGATACCCGTGGCAGTATGTGATGGGTGGACTTGCATTGGTAATCCCAGTGTTTCCATGGTGAAGGCTGGCTCCCATGTCTGGGGCTCTCCTGACAAAGTGCAATACAGAGATGCAGAGGGAGGTACCAGTTTTCACCAGCTGTCACACCTTGTCTCCTCCAGAACTTCTGCACAAAAGGTGGTGAGTTAGGACAACCTTGTGTACTCTAATGCTTGACCTGTGGGCCACCAGTTCAGCCACCGGTTCTTAGGAATATTAATCCATCCTTTCTCTTCCCTTACGTGTTCTCTGTCATAGCTGGCTTTTGTTTTTCAAGAATATTGTAGATGATGTATCTGACATTTTGGGGCAAGGTCTTTCTCATGCTTATACCAGGCAAATTATATGACATCAAATTCTGACTAATGCTTTGTTCCACTTGTGGTTGTCAGCTCTAGGTGATAACATCTGTGTTGCCTGTGCCTTTGCATTTGAAGAGTGCTCTCAGGAACACGTGCAAATACTGCAGGCCCTTTGACCTGCCACGTGCTGACCCCACAGTTGTCTCACAGGCTGACTACAAGGAGCCTTGTCAGTTGTATCTGCAAGACTGGAGTTGCTCAGGCATTTGAAGTTGTGGGTGCACCTTCACCCATATCTGGGACTGTGTTTACAATTTCACAGTTTTGGATCTACCCAAAACTGGACTTCAGAAAGGTCACCAACAGACTTCAAAGATAATGTATGCCCTGACTCATTTACTTTAGACAGTCCTCTAAATGGGCACTGACCTCCTGTGTCTTTGTGCTGGACAGTCTCTGTTAAGAAATCCTGTAACTTGCTGTCTTCTTTTGCACTGCACTGCTGTATCTTCTCATTTAGTTAGTATTAAACTTTTAATCAAACATAATGCTTTAAGGATCTGGATCTTGAAATTTGTTGGCAGATTCTTTAGTATTCATCCTTCTCATCTGAAAAATTGCTTAGCTCTCCTATGGCAGTTAAGACATAAAAACCTCCCCTGAATCTGAATCTTTGGTGGGTACAGAAGTCTGAAGGCTTCTGGCGTTTCTAATGGCTATGCTATTTTGTTTGCTGCTGTCAGCATTTCTTTTTATTAACAGATACTATGTTTGTTTCTCATTTAGCCTGGCAGCTTAACGTTTAAAGTAGGTGAGAATCTGATTTTACTTACAGAATACTTCATTTATTTAAGGTTTTTTGAAATGACTTGTTTAATGGATGTATCACACCTTGGCTGATGATCTGTCCCTCTTTCTGTGCAATTACAGTTCTACGCAACAAAGAAAGAGTGGGATATGTGTATCCAGGCAAAACTAAATCACTTAAGCAGAAAATAAAGTCTGTTGAAACGCTACATAAATGCTGAACATGCACCTTTTTTAATTGAGCCTGATAAACAGAGAGATTCCCAGCATATCCTGAAAGTTTAGTCCCTGGACCAAGTCAAAAAATGACGCACTACTTGTCAAGGTAAAATACAAGTTACAAGTCAAACAACTAGTCCTTTTAAGAAACAGTGAATATGTGTAAATTGGCGATTGTTTTAGAGCTTCTTGGTTTGACTCAATTCATAAATTTAGTTTATCAGTTAAAAAATTTGCTGCACCGAGAACTTGATTGTCACCCTCCTCACAGAGATGGAACCTTATGTGCTAAAGTGCAGGCTGACATAGAAAGCCTTTGAAGTTTACAGTGCTAGTCAGAGATGTGCCTGTACCCAAGAGCCAAGTCTGTTTAGTGGCAATTACTAAATCTGTAAATACTTTTGATTCATAGAATCATGAATCATGATTCTGTAAATACTTTTGATTGATGGTTTTAAAGAGAGAGACAATTCTTGAATGTCAACTCACAAATGCTGAGCCACCTGCTTGCTTCAAAAGCTATGGCTTGAACATTGTGGGAAAAATCTGTTCCATGAGTTCCTCAGAAAGGTGCCTCAGTACTGAAGGTAGTTGTGCCTTTCTCTGAAACCTGGCTGAAGATATCTTCCCAAAGTGAAGACATTAATGGCCTCAGACTAATTACACTTTTGCAAGGCATAAGACTCTCAGTTGCTTGAAGTGTAGATTTCTCTTCATTTTCTGGCTACTGACAACTTGTGAGCTTAAGTTGACCTCTGTGTATTTTAAATTGGGTATTAACTCTGGAAGAAAAAGAACATGTCAGATAAACTGTTACCACATCTTCTGTGTCATGCCATAGGTCTCACTGGGAGCTGGACAATGATGGCAGAAGAAAGCTGGGAAATTGTATTATTATAAAGAACAGCTTCGTAAGTGGAAGAAGTGTTGGTGAAGGCAGACGCTATTAGTGTGAAAGAAGCAGAACCTATTCATTAGCTCTTCTTTCTGTGTGGGAAATTAAAATGTGAAATAAAAAGGACTGGTTGCACTGTGCAACTAGTTGCTGTGCAATGAGCATACATCATGCTTTGAATATAACAAATGCCAAACGTAACAACTATGTAGAGGCCAGATTTCTTTCTTCTCTGGGGATTTTGATCTGTATTCTTGTAGAAGATTTTTTTGTATCACATCCATGCATTTCCCATCACTTTGTAATCTGAAGGAGAAATCCAGTCTGGTAAATTAATAGGTAGCATTCTCCTATGTAACAGACCAGGTGGGAGTATGTAGACCTTAGAGGAGTGTTTGTCACCAAATGAACATGTCTGTGCTAGTTCAAAATGCCCTTCAAGCTATGTCTGAAATATTTCTCTCTTCAAATGAGTTACTCCTTCTCGTGGGTGGAATGAAGAATCTTGTCCTTCATCTTAATTTGTATACACTAAGTTCATGACAGAGTAACTTAGTCATACGAAGGAAGGCAGATATCACCTCCCTTCTATGCCATGCAAAGCTGTTGTGAGCCAAGGAGTTGTACAGCTAACAGACTAGTAAAACCAGGCCTGCCATGTCTACCAAAACAATCAGGTTGCACACTCTGCATACTCAAGTTAAAAAGCTAACTAACTTAGCTATTCGTATGGCTTCTAAACCACACATGTACAAATTCACATTAAAATTAGAATTAATTACATCTCTCAACTCATCCATCTAAATGAACAATGCTTTGCTGAATGTAGCTCTGCTTTTCATAAGTATCCTCCCATTATATAACAACTGGATATTCCTATTTTACCTTGGCATTTGTTTGTGGGAGAGGTGCTCTGAAAACTAAATATATCCAGTATTAATTGAACTATGTATCTAGGAAGGACAATTCTTTATAATTTTATAATGAGATCTGTCTATACATGAAAAAACATCAGCCATTCAACATTTTTACTTCTATTTTAGATCTGTCTTCACATCTGTGAGAGAGAGCAACAATTGCCTCCTATATTTTACAGCCTGGAATGTATGAAAAATGAACTTCTGAGAAACTGAGTTTTACAAATACTCAGAAAATGGGAAGAAATAACACAGGGGAAAAGGAAATGGGCAATGGATAAAATGATAAGGATTTTTGGCATCTAATGGAAAAGGAGAGAGAAACACCTACAAAATACAAATCTGCACCTAAAAGTCTTCCTGAACCCTAAAAATGACATGCAGTATGTTAGATCATTATTTTCCTTCTCTGTTACGTCTCTTGCCCTATTAATTCCCCTACATATACCACATTTGATGTGTTCTCGTTATGCTTATATTCCTTCCTGTTACCCCATATGAACTAGGAAACTTACCATGTCTTCCCTTGGAGCCCCAAATCTCCAAGCACAAAGTATCCATGTTTTGTGCCATGAGCAGTCTTCAGAGAGTTACCTTCGATCTAGCTTACAGTAGCATGCAGCTGTCTCTTGGCAAGCACACTACCTAGCGAGCATGTTGGCACTGTGGTGTCCTGAGGCCGTGATGCTGCCTGCGGTTCCTTGGCCTCTCCGTGCTGTGTAAACATGTCTACTGTCTTTAATGATCTCAGCTGGTGGCCTTGACACAAAACAACAGAACTTGGAGGCTGCCTTTTGCTGTCGTCTGTATGCAGTAACCAGGGAAAGGTTTCACCTCTACCACGGATTTATCAGAATGCCGCCAAAACTGAAGGTGGTGTGAACTCCCATGCACTGAATTCAGTGAACCAGAATTTTCCCACTGAATTCATCTGCTTGGAAATGGAAGTTACAGGTTTACTTCATCACACAGATGCCCTGATGCATTACAGTTGTGTATATTCCTTGAACAGTGCAGTTTACCCACTCAGTTTGAGGACAAGGACAGAGACAGCCTGGCAAATTGCTCTGAGGTTGTTGAAGGCAGAACCTGTCCAGCTGTACTGTCTGTCCTGTCCCTGCTGTGGTTGGCCTGGCAGGGTGGAGCACCTGCACGCGTCGCAGTGCAAAGTCTGCTGTCTTAGCACAAACTGGCTCTCACCAGCACTTTAAAGAAAATTGCTGGACTTTGCATCTGAGGCTTGTACGCACAGCCCCAGCCGGCTTTCTTCTGTGGGGATGTTTTCTCCTGGGAAACAAGTGGTAATGAATTGTGGAGGACCTAGAAGCAGAATAATTATTTCTGTTCATGAGTATCCAAAGACTTACAGACTTTTTCGCATGGATTTGCAGAAATCGATCCTTAGTCCCATTTAAATGACTACACCAGATGTTCTCAACTGAATGAAAATGTACGTGGTATGCAGGCACCAAAGATTGCAAATAAATGTTTTTCAAAACTGCCTGTAATTATGCAAAGTAAATTTTATGCAAGAAGTGGCGCCACCTAAATGACAAAATAACATATGCACATGTTAGAAAAGAGTCTTTTCAAAGGATCGCCGCCCTCCTGGAATAGCTAGAGTCTTCAATTACAAGTTAATCTATCCTAGTAATATTAATTTGGGAGTTGATTGGGAGTGGTCCTCTGTTTTTTCAGTAGTTATTGTATTCTTTCTACTCTTTCAATTCTACAGAATTACCTCCTGTATGAACACCATGTGGCAACATGACTAGTTCTGCTGCAACTTTCCCCATGGCAAGGTAAGAAATCCAGAGTTAGACGGCTCAGATGTAACCAAAGCTGATTTATAGCTAGAGTTTGTTAATTTCTCATTTTAAACTCAGACCCGAGCAGTCAGTTATATACTGTCAACAAGCCTGATAGTTACGGTTTTTTCCCAATTACCCTCTTTTCTGTGTCTCCTGGTAAGTAGAACCAGGAGTAGAACCCACTGGTCTTGTGGCATTGGGCTGCAGTGCTTCACTAAGGACCCAGAGGAAACAGGGCTGCTCCAGCTATGTCAGTTAGAATCTGCTGTCTGCTCCTGTGCCACCATCCATGTTCTTCATGCAGTTTCTCCATGGAGCTGGACTGTGGTTGAGGGTACAACTGCAGTTGCTTGAAGGAGAGGATACAAGTCTCTAAAGGTTGCAAACCTGAAGCTCCCTTACCTAGTTGGTGCAATGAACCAGATTCTAACTGCCTACAATTTGAAAGCTTCCAGGAAGACCATGAAAGGGGTATCTGATATGTTGGTGCTGCTGCAGTAATAGCTGTGTCAAAACCAGGTGTTGCAACTTCCTAAACAGTAGTAATAGATGAGTTGATACCACCTACTTCCTTAGTTCTTCTTTTCCTGCTTTGTCATAAGGGTGGCTGTCTGGTAGGACTAGAAAAAGGAAGACAGTGAAGGTTTAAAGGATTTGCAATTGTAAGCAGCTGAGAAGGAAATGCGCACTAATTCTTCTCAGAAGCAGACTACTAAGCTGCAGGCTGAGTGACGTCCTGTGGGTCCAAGCTCCACTATACAGAAGTGGGAATAGTGAGTCTGAAAGTTAAGAGTCTCAGTTGGCTGTTAGTAATTCTTCTGGTCATCTGTGAAAGTCTCAGGGATGGTCCAGTCAATAGAGCCATATCATTCATGAATCTAAGTTTAGGTCACTCTAAGAAGCATAGCAGACTTGAAAAAGAAAGTTTTAATGGATCAGAAGAAGCAAGATTGATTTTGAGAAAATAGACACCTTCATGTAGGACCTTTCCCGATGAGTCCTCACATCTGTGACTGCTTTGTACCAAAATTGACTTTATAGTCCACACAACCTGGTCTTTATGAACCCCAGAGGCAGAGTTTTCCTTCCACTGAATTCCCCTAGTGAAGATCCAAACTCTTGTCATCGCATGACTTAATAGATATTCACTTTGAATCACAAAACCTTACGCAAAGATGTTTAATTGTGTATTACATTCATCCATGTGTCTTCTCTGTGAGACCAGAGTCTCTTATAATATAAACCAGTTTGAATTCTCTTTTATCATACATCTGAAAGAAAACAAAGAACAACAAAAACCTCCCACACCATTTAAAATGTGTTTACCTGAACTTCTCACCTTATTACAGATAGACATGTGGTGGGATGGGGAATTCTGTGTCCTGTTTGTCTTGCTCTGTCACCACATGCATGGAACTCATATTTCCAGTACAGCATCATGACTTCTCTTTGACAGGCCATGAAGATGTGTATTTGCAAAGGCTTAGAGAGCAATGGAGACACATTGACATGGCCACTTCTACAGTTGCCATCCCTTAGTGCTGTTTAGCTGTGTCATCTCCCAGCCTAGGCAAACATAAATAAAGCAAGCCCTCAGAATTAATATCTCTGTCTCTGTTTTCTACACGGACCACTAAACAAAATGTGTAAGACTTCACCTATCTGTAATGCTGACCAGCTACTGTTAAAAAACCTTCTTTTCTGTCTCTGCTTTCATGCTTTGATAATCATTCCCCTTCCTGTTCATGTGATGACTTTATTGTCTTCATTTTGTCCATTTTTATATTAAATACTTCCCTTTGGGTTTTGCCTTTGGAGTCTTGCTTGATTCACTGGCTCTCTGGAATACTATGTAGAGCTTGTTTTAAACGGCAAAGTATATGCATGTGTAGCATGCCTCAGTAAAACATGCATGAACTGCTGTTCAGAGCAGCTGTCATTTTCAATTGGTACATGAGGGTTCTGATGAGACCACTGCATCCAAATTGCCCAAAAGCATTGTCTAATGTCACTACCTCAGTCCTGTTTCCATTTTGTGTCATGTATTCTTCCCTCCCTCCTCAAAATTAACCCTTGCTTTAACTGTGCAGCATGGAGCCCATGATAGTGTAACACTCACCCCTTACTGCATGTTGAGTTTCACACCAGCAAGGCTTGCCCCAAGAATGGTTTTCCTAGGTAACGTACCAGATGTGCAATAGTGTAACAAGTTGAATGAAGCTGTGCCAACACCTTACTAAATATCATCAGTGATCTTTACTCTTGTGAGACCCCAGCTGGAGTACTGTGTTCAGCTCTGGGGCCCCCAGCACAAGAGGGATGTGGACCTCACTGTTGGAGTGAGTCCAGAGGAGAGCTAAGAAGGTGATCAGAGGGCTGGAGCACCTCTCCTATGAAGACAGACTGAGGCTGTTCATCCTGGAGAAGAGAAGGCTCTGGGAAGACCATATGGCAGCTTCCAGTACCTAAGCGGGGCCTACAGGAGAGCAGGAGAGGGACTTTTACAAGGGTAGTGATAGGACAAGGGGGAATGGCTTTAAACTGAATGGGGAGATTTAGATTAGATATTAGAAAGAAGCTCTTTACTATGGTAGTGGTGACACACTGGCACAAGTTACGCAAAGAAGCTGTGGCAGTCCTGGAAGTTCAGAGCCAGGCTGGATGGGGCTTGGAGCAACCTGCTCTAGTGGAAGGTGCCCCTGCCCATGGTAGGGTGATTGTTCCTTCCCAACTCAAAACATTCTATGATTCTGTGAATGTCCCCACTGAGAGGCAAGTGCCACTGCAGATCATTTCTCAAACAGTGTGACTAACACAGTTTATGACCCTATCTCATCAGGCTCCTGTTTATCTAATGTGTCACCCTTTAAGTCTTATGTTTCACCCCAGCTGTTCATGTTTTAACATTTAAGGGCTTTACGACTACTGTGCCTGATACTGTAGCAGTGAAGGTCACTAAGCTGACTTTACTATTAGATGGGTTTCATTTTTATACCAAACGTGATGAGGAAGAGTCACAGTGAAGTGTGTTGACAGGATCAGCTTTAAATGTTGTATGTATTAAATGACTTTGCTTTCAGTTGGGCGTCTCAGTACATGTGGGACTGGAAATCTCATTAGAATATATAAAGAGACAGATTTTGTGGTGCCAGCTGTGCTCTTGGAGCCTGATATTGTCCCTCATATGAATACACAGAGAGTATAGTTGCATGTTCATTTGGAGGTTGTCCTACAACTGTGTCTAGAGCTCACTAACAACAGCCATACACTACCCTCAGTGCTTCTCTGAGTGGTTAGTAATGGCCTTAAAGTGCCATTTTATATAAAATTAAAACTTTATTTTTTTATTTTTTTTTCTGGTAGGTTAACACCACCTCCCCAACCCTCCCCCCCCTAGTTACTTATTAAAATTTAAACTTTTTAATCACTCAGATGAACCGGATAAAACAAGTCAAATAGGCAGGTGAAATGGTCTGCAACTGTCAGAATTATTTTGTGAAAACTTGATGAAACAGGCTAGTTGGTTAAAATCATTACAGGAAAAGAAAACAGAACACTTTTTTGTTGTCTCAGATGCCTTGTGATTTACAAAACTGCTATTGTTGCAGTTAGTGAATGTGTCCAAATGCCATGGGTCATTGAAATAACATGGAGAATACATTATTTTTTACCAAAAAGTATTTTAGAAATAATTATTTTCTACACACAGGTATAAAAAAAGATGGCATGAGCCTGACAAGGCACATATGCCAGTCATGTTTCACATCTACTTGAAATTTTACATACAATATTTTACAGTCAGTAACAAGATACAAAATAAACCAACACTTACTTAAGAAAATGAAGGACGCATGGTCCCATAACTGGATATAAGAGAGAGAAGACCTCTCAGATAATGTAAAATAAGCAAGCAATAGTTCAATCTGAGAAATTTCTACACCCACTACTCAGTAGTTTTGTGTGACCCAGCCTAAGTATGAAGATTAAAATAGAAAGCTACCTCTCTACAGCTGGGTTAACTCAAAATGCAGATCTAAAAGCAAAAATAAATGTTAGAGAACAAGTTTTCTTTGGTAAAGTTTCCTAGGTGCTGCGGAAGATGTCTTTCTGTGTGTGTGCGTCCACCCTGCTAGGGCGGAGTGCTTCGAAACATTCCCTAAAAGGGAAGCAGTTGTGTTCCACAGTTCACCTGACCTGAGCCCACTTGCTAGCTCTGCTTTGAGCACGCTGAGGGGAATGACTCAACATGACACACAGCAGCCTTGGGCTCTTACATTTAAAGATACAGCCACTGAGGGAGGTGGTAATGATGTTTGTTTCTCCTTGTATTTAGAGTACTCTCCCGGGAGATGGAAGATTTGGGTGCTGTGTCCTCCTACCAGGGGATTGGTGTCAACATTCCTTTCATTCCAGACGAGCGGCCAGAAAACGAGGCTGTAGACCATGCTGTGATAGGGAAGTGGTGCGGCTGGATCTGAGCAAGAATAATTAAGCTTCAGTTGTGAAACATGAATCCTTATCGAAAGCACCTTCCCACCTGTTCAAAAGTAGTTTCTCAGTCTGTAGTAGGAGTAGGGTGTTAGGCACATGCTTCTTTCAGCAATTAGAGCAACTCATAGGTTGCTGGATGTTGTAGGTGTAGCTTGCAGCATCCACGTCCCTTTCACGCCTAGGGCAGGGAGCTTAGATAATCTGCTGAAGGGGTTTGGTATTACCCTAAGAACTCAACACATGAAGCCTAAATGAAATAATGCACTTCAGTGGTCTGGGTCCTTTCATTTCTCTGAGTAGCAGTTTATGGGTGACTAGACAGGCGTAAAGAAAGGACAGAAGCAAAAAAGTTTGTACTAGTCTCATTAGCTTTGCATTCTATCTGTGGATTACAGGTTACTAATTGGAGAGCAACCTTGTTTATCCCCGTAGACCATTAGATGTGAGATCATTGGCTAACAAAGCAATTGTCTGTCATTATTTAATTAAGGAATAGTGCATGCATGGACACGACTTGCACATATGGGAAACTTGTCCAGGAGGTACGATAGGCTATCATCATGGTCAATGACCATCTGCTTAAACAGAAAGCAAGAAATGACTGAGCAGATGAATGGAAGACGAGAACATGACTTTTTACTTTGCAGGAAGTTCTCCCATTTGAAAAAAAAAATAAAATTCGAAGTAAAGATTAAAAAAAAAATCCAAATTTTCTGCAGAACTGGCTTCATTGCTTTGTAATCCAAAATAAATTGTTTAGATGTTGAATATGAGTGTTATACACTTTGATGGTAAAAATGGTAAATGTTTGAGCTGAAATAATTTAAAAATAAACATTGTAAATAATTACTAGGTGAAGTCTAAAACAGAGGGAGTGCTAATGGTTATTTTACTTAAAACGAAATTTAGTGGAGCTAGTGATTTGTGGTGAAACATGCTCCTTTAAATGAGTTACCTTTTTCAGTGACAGAATAAAGTATTCTGGGGAAAAGTTCTGAAGTTTTCTACTGCTTGATAAGTGGTGGGTAATGCCTATTGAAAGGACTTGTATTCATTGTTGAAGCTCTAAATTACCTTCAGCCACATAGGAAAATTTTTTTTTCCTCTCTGAAAAGCTGTGTGAAATATATGTGATCAATGCACAAGTGAGGTCAAGAAAGTGAATAAAATGTGAAGATGGCTAAGGTTAAATGTAAGGCACATGAACCTGGCTCTCAGAGAACCCATAATTTCTGTGGAATTCTGCTGTGGTTACATCACTCGATACTCTAAATCTCAGAAGTTTTATTTTGCATGTAGCACCTGACTTTTAGAAGGCGTATGAATAGGCATCTGCTGTCAGGCAGCAACTGGAAGGTGAGGGACCTTCAATTTAACGATATAAACGATGGAACATGAAGCTGTGTTTTGTACAGTAACAAGCGCTGTATTCACATCATTTTAGTTTTACTTTTAGATTTCCAAAAGGCTTTCAGACAATGATTGTTCTCTTTTCTAAGGTACAACTTCAGTTAATTTTTGGTTTCGTTCCCTTGGGGAACAACCAACCTAAGATTTTGCAAGTGAGGAAGCAATGTTTGAATGGTTACCGATGATGTAGAGAGTAATTGCCAAATTATGATTTAAAAGGTGTCATGCTTAAAAAGCTTCTTGAGTGCCAGTGGGTTTGTTTCAGGTGGCTGAACTATTTACTGCAAAGCAAAAAGGCCTAAGTGAAAGTGCTCCAAAATGGGTCTTAGGAATGCGAATCTAGAGAAACTTCTCAGAAGCTGTGCATCTGTAGCATTTACAGCACTTTTTAAAGCAGTGCTTTTCATGGCAAACACAGCAGGTTACACATTTGGGAAAAGAAGACCAAGAAGTCCTGACTTGTACTTCCTCAGCTGTAACAAATGCAGCCACGGTATATATAACTAAAGCCCTAAATAAATGATGCAGTTAATTAAAGACAAAAACAAGCCTATTGAAAGTGGAGGGAAATGTTGAGCTATTTCTTGTTTTACACGATCTCTGTATACAATAGAACATGTGCTAAAGTGTTCTGTGATTGACTGGCGTTTTATTTGTTCCTTACAAAAATGGAAGACAAGGAGCCTAGTGAGCAGGAACAGGGTTTCTATCAAACAGGCTGGCTGCAGCTTGGAAAGACACCATCACTTGCTGATCTAAGAAATAAGTGAAACAGAGCTCAGCAGGGACCATCACTGAGCCTGTGTCACCCTCTCTTTTGGGCCTGCACAGCTGTTCACACAGCCAGTCAGTGAACCATTTTGGGGAACTGATCTGGCAAAAGAAACCAACATCTTTAGGGGGGGAGCA